TTTATTTTATTTTTATATATGTTTAGAGTAGTATATTATTTAAATAGAAGTTAAATTCAATGGAATCCTGTATAAAATAGTAGTTTAGAGGAAAAAACTTTTTCCAAGGGAGAATGAAGAGGAGCCAAGTTTTTTAAAAAATCAACCTTTTGGAAGTAAAATAAAAAATTTCATTGAGCCACTGGAGAGGGTATTTTGGAGGAAAAAGGGAGTAACTGTCCACCCAAAGTTTGTCAAATCCTATATCCGCCTAGAGGAGTCCCGCTCAATTATGATTTTTTTCAGAAAAAACGGCACAAGCACACGAAGTTGTAAAATACGCAAAGGAAGGGTTTACAAGGAATGTTCCAAAGTCATTATAACTAGAAAGAAAGGCCTATAGATGATTCAAACGCAAGTAATGATTCCTCTTCCTCAAAAGCCTTTCGCTTAATATTGTATTCCCCACATTATTGCGGCCAAAAGGAAATGAATATGTGCCTCTTAATTATTGGGGGCTTGCCAGGTTTTCTACGGGAACAATCCAATCGCTCTTTCCCAAATTTACTCGTCAAATGATTTGTAAAACTAAAAGTTATACTTGGCGTTTATATATACCAATTCTACAAGTCCACACCCTTGCGCTCTTTGGGAATTTCTCAAGGGGGGGGGGGGGGGGGGGGGGGGGGGGGGGCGGGGGGGGGTGAAATGTTTTTTGCGCTTATGGCTTCGAATGCATTATGTTCTGTATTTTTTACGCCTACTTCCTCCCTACATGACTTAGGGCGCCATTTCAAAGTCTTTCATAAAGTATATGAATCTGCATTGTAATTCTTGGAGCTTAAACGATCAAGAGTTTCAGAACAGTACACTTTCTAAACGATACAGATAGGCATGAGGCCAGAATGTCACGAGACCCGATTAAAATGTTATGGGAACTGAAAATTTGAAAGTTTAACATCTTTTTTCTGGATATCAGTTGCCATATCCTAGAAATTTGGGGTTTTTGAACCTAGGTTTTACTGATTGACTGGAAAAGATTATAAACTTGATGTGAATTTCTATTTATATATTGTATTAACACAAGGTTTAATATAGCACTGTACACTTAAAAGCATGGCAGCTTCATGAAGTATGTCAGCTGAATAGCAGTATCTTCCATATACATCTTGAAGGGACTGTGCAAGTATTATGAATGTCATAATATTTATTCTAAAGTTGTATCTTTACCTGGTTAAGTCAGTCTTTCTGCACATAAGATTTAAAAAATTTCCATACTGAACACTTGGTTGTTTTATTTCCCACTTTTAAGATATTTTGGCAGTGTTGACCTTTAACACTGAGGGCAGAACGTGCATGGGACAACCTCCTGAATTGTGCATCGGTACCTGTTCAAGAATCGAATATGTTACTTGGGCCAGTTCTGTGTCCTTACTGTCACGAGTTAGATATTGCAAGAATTTCTATAAACCTTCAGTATGAGGATGAAGAAGAAACTATTTCCTTAAATAAACCTCAATCTGGAACAACGCAAGGTTAATCGTGTTTTTCATTTTAGCTGTTCTTTTTGTGGATCACACAGAGAGCGCACACGACACACACACACACTGGGGTCAACACGAGATAAGATGTTTAAGAGCCGCGCCCGTGTTTTGTCCCAAAAACTCGTCTAAAACCTAACCATCGCGGGGAGGAAGAGTTTCGATGGATCACACCCTTAATTTCACATATAAGCATATATTATCGGGATTGCTTTTTTCAATATGTGTTATTTATGTGAAATAAGAATGTAAAGATTAAGAAAGGCAGGAGGATTATCGTTTTAATGACAAGAAAATGGTCAGCGTTTAGCCATGTATAACTTTAATAATAACTATACACGTAGAGTTGAATCCGTTCTACTGTTTCCATCAGTAATGCTTCTTGCATTTTGGCTGTCTATGGTGATGAATTTAGATTTTTAGCATAAAAGCTATATTTGTTTCCTTCAGGGGGGCGACACAAAGCTAAGGTTATGAAGACAGAGGCTTTGCGATTCTTGGAATGTGTATTGGAGGGTGATAATTCCTTTATGTCCTTTCCTCACATTAGTGCCTTTCTTTTTTTTCTGTAAAATCGCTGCGCTTAAGCCAATTACAATACCTTAGCCCCAAATTATGTATTATTATTATTACTTTTTTTTTTTTTTTTTTTTGCAAATGTATTTTGTCCAATCTTAAGCATCGGCCCTACAGTATTAAGGTCCAAACTGCTGTTATATTGCGTGTTTTTGAGACTGTTTGTTTAAAATAGTGTTTTAAATCCCTGCAAAGTTGATGTTGCCAATAGCATTATGCAGTTCATTGTTTTAAATTTGAACTACACAACTAATCAACGGGATAGTTCATTTTAAGCAAAGACTCGAGTTATTGCTTAGCAATTTTTAATCGCATTGAGATGATTTATCCAATTATCCAAATCTAAGAGAGATTCGCTAACCAAAGAAATAACTTCACTATCAGTGTGTTTTTCCAATAACGGTTTAGACTCATTAAAAAAGGAGTTAGTTATCCCTGCTTTCAGGTGGTATTATATAAAAGAAAGACTTTGGCATTAAGTAACTGGATTTAACCAGCTTCCATCATAGTGTTGGACATAGTGTGTGGTTTCCAAATAAGAAATTAGATATCATTAAAAGGAGTTTGTATTGCTGCTTGAGGTGTATTATATAAAAAGAAAACTTTGCATTAAAGTACTATATTTTCCGCAGCTTCTATTAGTAGTTAGGACATATAGCGACTGCTAAAATCTCTTGTTTCGATATCTCTCGGCTCTCAAATTACGGATCACATCCACGTGCACATGCATGCAATGCATCTTTACAATATCGTATCGTGATTCTCACTGAATTCCAAAGCCCATGGCAGATAGTGAGATAAATGATATGAAACACGGCTGATGAGGAGGTAGATTTAGGACATAGTCTCTTGATCTAGTCACAAATTGTTTTCATTATATTCATATTTTTTTGAAAATGTTAGAATAAATAGCTACTGTAGGAAGTTTCTCTAATGCAAGCCAGCTTTTTACTTTGCTAATAAGGAGATCTATATTGTATATATTGCATTTTATGGCTGACATGTTTTTGCACTGCAGGTATGTTTTAACACCACCTATTTTTAATCTGTGTGTTGGCAATGCCCTTGGGGAGAAAGCAGCTTATTTTGGCTGCTGGGGCTAAAGGAAAATCGTTCGCTTTCACCTCAATCAACTTATCCATGTATAAAGCAGGTCTTTCCTTGACTATTATTAACTGGGACTACTGCAATTCACGTTTTCTGATATCTTTTTATTTATTTTTTTTCTTGGACATGGGGGAATGGGCATACTACATATTTCTAACGAAAAATCTCCTATTTTTCTTTCTAAAATCTACCAATACTACAGCCAATAGGGAGATTTCAAGGTCAAGCAAACAGAATGTCGACCTTGGCAAAGAAAAGAAGTAAAGAATGTTGAAAATAGAGTTGGGTTAAGAATCCGTGACTATTGGTGTTCATTTTTTTCTGGATGGTGATCTTCTGGTTATATATAATCCAACTTGCAGGAATAACATGCCCTCACATTGTAAATATCAAGATGTCTGTCGGTTAAGTGTTTTTTGCTTGTAACTTTCTTATTCTATGAATCATTAACCATAGAAACACTTATGACGAAAAAGAGCAGACTTTCCTTCTTTTTCAGTATATACCAAATGCTTAAAAGAGCCAAGGCACTACTCTGTGGCTTAATCAGGATTAGAGGTAGGATTCGGGACCATAGGACAACATGGGCTAAGTGTGAGATAGCACTCAAGTATCTATCTCAGATCACATGGACTTTTACCCTCAAATTGCTTCACATTTCAAGATGTATATGAATGACAAAAGAGCTGTTTATCTTTAACAAGCCAGCAAAATTTATAGCAGCTACAGGGTGATTTTAAAATTATTGACCATAAATCAATGCTGTTCGCAGAATACTATTGCATTGTTTCATATATTAAGTCTCCCAGGCTGTTTTTATCTACTTGGGTTTAATCGGAAAAGGGTTTGGAACTCTCAAGATCTGCCTAGGAAGAAGTGGAGTACAGGGAAATCATGTTCTAACCAAACCATACCTTTTTTATATCCTGAATAAAACATCTTTTAATTTTTTCCAATTCAACCCATAATTCTGTCATCATTTGCACGGCATTCTGCCTAATTTTCCATAACCCCACCCCCCCTACGGTACTGTTGTCTAGGAAAATGTACTTTCAGATTGCAGAAGCCTTTTTGATCCAAATTGCTATAGCATACATCTGGATCTCCAAAAATTGGTAAGCCATTCCTTGAAGGTGGAAGAGGAAGAATCTGAGGATGTTGACAGATTTTGTTGGGTCTAACGAAAATGTGGCAAGGTAAAATCGTAGTTCATCTCAACAAATTGCTTGACTTTAGATATAAAGAATGAAATCACATTTAAATATCAGATGAGGGCTGCTTGGATGACGAGACTGCCATCAACAATGATTGTCTATTCAACTTACATCGAAAACAGCGCCAATATACTATGGATAAACAATTAGATGATGGTCGGTTTGGAAACAACAGTTTTTGAAGGATAAATTGCAAAAGGTGAGATATTAAAAGACGGAAAGTTTTAGCAAAGAGAATTATTCTGAAAAAAAAAAAAAAAAAAAAAAAAGAGGATAGTTAGCAGATGGTGCCATTCAAGAGCCTCACACGCTATGTTAAGTGGTGCCTGGGCTTGTTGACCCACGCCTCTTTGTTTTCTTTTTTTTTTTCCTTGATAATTGATCTCTTTCATTATCTTTTAGGCCATTATTTTCTTGAGTTGTGTGATTCTATTCATCTGCTTTTACATTTAGAGAGAAATAACAGTAGCATGAAAAAAGGAATAATTGGCCCATTAACGTTTAAAAGTAGATCATTTGCTCAATTTGAAATTCTGTTATGCATTTAATAATATATTCATTGTTAAATTTGAATGAATAAATTGAAAATTAGCTAATTTATTGGTTCTTTAGACATTATAAGTTATTAAGTTGCTTTGTAGCCAATATTAATGGGTAACAAATATAGTGCTGTACCAATAACTGTAAAAGCATTATACATGCAGCAAATTTCAAACTAGTGTTCCAAGCCTGTCACATATTAAGCCTCCATCCTTACATTGCAACCCAGAGAATACCCCAATCCTGGTAAGTGGTAACTATGGATTACATGGTTTTTCTTCTGCTTGGCCAAACTGCTTGTAGATGGAACTTTGGGTGGGAAAAAAACATTTGAAAACTCTTTTCGAGCACATCAGTAATTTGTGTGTTCGTTGTGTGTGTGCAGATAAAGAAAGAGAGAGCTTCTATCATTATATTTCCCTTTGACTTCTAAAACTCGGTGATACGTTTATTCAAGGATGTATTTTGAATATTCAAAATTGTCTGCGGAAGATGTCAGTTAGGTTAAAACTACACACAAGTTCCTCAAATCAGGATACTTAAAACTGTCCTAAATTACTGAATGCTAATTTGCTTATATTCAAAATAATGTTGTATACTGCTCTAAAATTTATCCAGATGTTTCTAGCACTAATTGCAGACTTCTTTTTTTCTAATTGGTTACATCTAAAATTTTGGTATCTCAGCACTGTAGATTGTTTCCTTTTTAATTTATCTTATAGGTCAATCTCTTGGCAAAGCATATTGGAAAATCACCTGAACAAATTGAAGCAGACATCAGTCGCCCAAAATATTTTAGTCCAACCGAGGCTGTTGAATATGGGATCATAGACAAGGTACTTCACAAAAGCTATTTTTTGAAGTTTAGCTTTGCTTCATTACTGATTAAGTTATTGTTGTCTGAAGGTACTATATAATGAAAGGGGTAGTGAAGACCGTGGAGTAGTTTCTGACCTTAAAAAGGCACAACTTATATGATTTGATCAAAATTGCATTTGGCGATTGTTGGGAGACTAATCAGGTGAGAAATAACTGCAAGTCATTATCAAATTTGGATTATGTGAAAATGCTGTTAAACATTTTTCTGTTGTACAATGGTTCATGGGTGGTAATCAGTGCTTCCTTTCTAGCGAAAACTTGTTGGAAAACTCCCTATTTGTTCATTGAACACTTTAGGGCACTCTTGCTACATTTGAAATTTTCTTTAATTTGACAGTGCTCCAGACTTAATACTGAATTCATTTAGTCATTTGAGTAGCAAGTGCGGGTCATTTTGGAAAAGTTGAATACTTTGGCTTGGTAGTTAATCACCCCTGGCTGTAGCAAGGAATGATTCACCGCTCCTTCACGACTCTTTAATTTGACAGTGCTCCAGACTTAATACTGAATTCATTTAGTCATTTGAGTAGCAAGTGCGGGTCATTTTGGAAAAGTTGAATACTTTGGCTTGGTAGTTAATCACCCCTGGCTGTAGCAAGGAATGATTCACCGCTCCTTCACGACCCTGCTACTGTTAAACATGATAAGTTCTACATGATCAATTCTTTGGGATGTCTTCAATCACTGCCACATGCCTCGTATTCCTCTTATTCCTCAACCCACTTAGTATCAGTCACTATTGTTAACTACTCCACTGCTCTGATTTGTGAAATGGAGTATGTTCTCAGATTGAATGCAATTGCTTGTTCTTTTCATGGCCTTGCCACTTTGCAATCATGCTTGTTCTTCCCGAAATTCAGCAGACACCTGGACAAGGTGTGTCGGCTAAGTTGCTGGGATTGACTATGTAGTTAATATGGATTACACCTTGCATTTGCTTTTTTGATTGCTCTGTTGTGATTGTTGGATTTGAGACTGAAAATGATTGATAGGGAATTTTAGTTGGTGAGGTACTTTCTTGTCTGGTATTATCAATTTCATTCACCATTACATAGCCTTTTTTTCTCTTTTCTCATTTCACATTTCCAAGTGCAGAGAGGGGTCATTACGTGGTAACAATTCTCTTTTGATCGACTTTACACATTTATGGCCCCAATTAGCATCTTTTTCCATTATTTGTTCAGTGGTTAGGTCACTGTGTTGAAAGTTATAAATTACACAAGCCCATAATGATGATGATAATAGTGACACTCACTATCTCAGATATGGAAAGCTCTCACTTTTGCTTTGTGTGTATGTGAACTGTCAAATTGTCATTGTGAATTAATTGGCTGATTCTTGTTCAGTTTTTGCATCAGCTGTAATTTTGCATCTCATCCTTCTGTTTTTCCACTGTCTTTTAAAATGTTGTTTGGTTTTATTGGTTGCATTTGGCTAGCAAAGTGGATTGAAAGGAAGGCTGCTCCACCCAAAGGAGCCAAGAACAGAAATGTCTTTGAATGGGAAGCAAGGTGGTGGACAGTACCTTGAAGCTTTTAGCTATGAATTATGCTGTTTCTGTGGTTAATGTACACAAATGACAAGCATTGATCGTAACCAAATGTATTGCGGAAAATATGTTTGTGCACATGCACTCATGCCTGTAATTTTCATTATAGCTGCTCCTAAAACTGATGAATCACAATGTTACAGTTAAATTTCCATGCCAAATTCTCCTTTTAAGATCTTTTGGGAGTAGGGACTGCCAAAATAGTTTTGCAGGATAATGATATTTAGTAAATCTAACAGATGGAGCAATAATCTAATGATTGATGGTGTCAACGAAGTGTGGTTTGGTTGGTGTCTGTTCTTCTCACATTTTGTAAAAGATGTGGGAGTGGTAGATCTTGAGTTTGAATCTTCTCTACTACAAATTATTTTAAGGGCAAGGGCTACTCTTGTTGTGTAGTTTATAATGTTATTTCAGTTTATCAAACCTTTCATAAATAAATAAAAAATCTAATGATTGATGGTTTGAAATTATAATTGCAACAAATAGAGTTCAAATTTTTTATTGTTAGCACTTAGTTTTGTCACAGCAGTTAACCACAATTGTTGAATCAAACAGAAATAGTTGCTCCGTTCAGTGCAAGAAAACTTGTTAATAAAAATTATTAGAGTTAAATTATTAACCTCTTATATCATCATACTCTTATATAGTGATGATTCTGTATTAACAATTAATCTATTGGCATAATGAGGGGGAAAAATTGATCTCTGGTAGGATAGGCTTATTATGTTATGGGATAGGCAGAGCCATGAATACCAAGCAACTGTGCTGACGACGGCAGCTTGTTAGGCTTATTCCAATATAAATTGCGACTTTGATAGGCTGCTATGGAATTTGCCAAGTGGGCGACTAGGAATTAGAGTCACCTACCCCAATTTCCTCCAAACCTAGACTTGGATTTTGATTTGGTATCTCATTTTGGCATTGTACCTACACCAAGTGGGTTGAATCTAAAATGTTACAGAAACAAAACTTAGTTATTCAAAAGATCTTCCTACGTTATTTTATATATACCAAACGCTAAGACTTTGGTTACTTGATTTGGTGTATCGTCATTTTGGCATTGTACCTTACAGGCGCCCCGGCGGCCCCCGCCCGGCCCGCCCCAGTGGGTTGAATCTAAAATTGTACAGAAACTAAAACCTTAGTTATTGACAAAAGATCTTCCTACGTTATTTTATAATATATATATGATATAGTATATTATAGTATATATATAGTAATATATATATTATATATATTTATTTATTTATTTAAAAAAAAAAAAAAAAAAAAAAAAAAAAAAAAAAAAAAGGGCCTTTAAGTGCTCCCACCCCAAATTTTCAGTCTTATCCAAGAGATTTGACACCAAGCTTGGCTATAACCATATGCTTACCTAGATTGACACCTCTCTTTTCAGTGCGTTACAACCAAATTAATAATGGGTTAGTGCCTCTAATTAATTTGTTAAATAGCCCATAGCTTTCAAACCTGACTCTAATAGGTTAAAATCAAAGAATATGTTACCTAAATATATATGGGTAAGCAATATTTTCTAAGAGCAATCATTGCACGTATGCTTCTACGAATTAGCTGAAAAGATTGGGAATTGATTTTTCTTACATTTTGCTTCCTTTTTAAAGTTTACCATAACAACCTAAATACAAGTTCTTTAGCAATATTATTCAATAATATTCACCATTTATGTTCAAATTTCATTAACGGTCACTAATTTAATAATCGAGTATCTGACTCATAATGTATGCTTCAAATATTTTAAGATGATAATACAATCTTCTTTAATTTTTTTTTTTTATGTATAAAAAAAAATCATCAAATAGGATAGTTGAATGATATGTTAAAAAAGAAGACTAGAAATACTTCATTCTTAGATTTTTAGGTTGAATACATCACTACATGAGTTGAATCAAAATATAAAATAATCAAAATATTAAGTAAGAAAATGAAAATGGATCGAATATGTCTACCTTCCAGGGAGACATTCCTATTATGTAATTCATTATTTGATATTCACAATATAAATAATAATAATAATAATAATAATAATAATAATATTTGCAAAAAAACACATAGTAAGGAGATGGAATGAATTAATGATAAATAAACTATTCCTTTAAGTACAATAATTAAATTATAACATCTAATTTAAATGTGATTACCAAACCCAATCTTATTTTATTGAAGATGACAAGGCAAAAAGGGTTATTAAACACACTGAAGTTTGGAAAGATTTTTTTGGTATATATATCTTCTTATTACTGCTCTTTTTTTTTTTTTTTTTTTTTAAACACACTAGAGTTTGGAAAGACATGTTTTTATGGAGGTAATAGTAATATCTTGCTATTACTGCTACTTATTTTTTTTTTATTTTTGTATTCACTTCTTTTTCCATTCTATGGGAAGGCAAATTATAGGGTGCAAAAGCAAAAAAGAAAAAAAAAAAAACAAAAACGCAAAAATAAATAATAAAAAAAAATTTTTTTTTTTTTTTTTTTCCTTCTTTTTCCATTTCTATGGGAAGGCATATTATAGGGTCAAAAGCAAAAAGAAAAAAAAAAAAAAAACCAAAAAATAATAATAAAAAAAGAGACTACATGGACTAATCTAATATAATCCTCCCTAGTCCAGATTCAAAGAAAAAGGTAACAATTTGTCTGAATAGCAGCCTCTGGCCTCACCTATAAATACAGGATTTAATTCCATAGCTTCCCATCTCATTTCATTTCCATACTTTTGCCACTAATTACTAATACTTCTTTCATTTCAAGCTATGGGTTCTAATTATGGTTATTGCTTTGTTTGTTTCATTATATTGTTGCCTGTAATAAGTTACTCCCAAGACTTCACATACTCTAGGGCAACTTATTATGGTAGCCCTGATTGCTTAGGGACACCAAGTATGTGCCTAAAATTGATTATTAATTTTATTTTTTATTTTTTATTTTTTTGTTATTTAGGCACTAATTAATTTGTTTAATTTTTACATTTCAATTTAGCTGGAGCTTGTGGGTTTGGAGAATATGGAAGGACAGTCAATAATGCAAATGTGGCTGGAGTTTCTAGGTTGTACAGAAATGGCACTGGCTGTGGTGGTTGCTATCAGGTAATATATATGAACAAGAGAAAATAAATTAAGTTTATATTTATTGCAACATAATATGAGTGCTATATTGTCATTTCCAATTATAAAGATTAGTGTCCTATTGAAAACTATGATATAGTATATGTCAATCATGTGTGGTATGATTGACATTTTTTCATTGTATATAAAAATGTCGAGAGTACGAGATCTCATATTCGAGTTTTCTCCCGACTATAAGAGTTTTCATCAATTGGTGAACTTGGAGGAAGATTACTCGTATAATATTATTTTAAAAACACATATATACCATGCACATTGAAGATACTTAAAGGTCTTCTTAAAAACACAATTTAGTATAAAACTATAAAGCTTCCATGATTAAACGAAGGTCATTTGTGATTAGTGCAGTACTTGCTTGCGTACACTAATTAATAATATGAAGTTTAAAAATATAAATATTTAAATAAAGCACTACCTGATAAAAAATTTCTATAGTAGTAGTAATTAACAAATGATACTTACAAATTATTTATTGTTTCCATAATTAAATTCAGGTTAGGTGTAAGGCTCCAAATATTTGCACTGATGATGGAGTGAACGTAGTGGTGACTGACTATGGTGAAGGAGACAGAACCGACTTCATTCTTAGCACTCGTGCCTATGCAAGACTGGCTCAACCAAACATGGTCTTAGAGCTCTTTGCATACGGCGTCGTTGATGTTGAATATCGGAGAGTCCCTTGCCGATATTCCGGTTACAACGTCATGTTCAAAGTTCATGAGAATAGCAGATTTCCTGAGTACTTGGCCATTGTTATTCTCTATCAAGGTGGCCTCAACGACATCTTAGCAGTTCAAATATGGCAGGTATATATGTTTCTAATTAATTCCTATCTTTTTTATTATTTTAATCAAGATGGCAAAGCAATTTTCTTTTTTCGCAGACTTATTAATCACATTCGAATTAATTCTCAAATATAAAAATCGAATGCAGAAATTTATCGATTTTACTATATACCAGCTAAATAATTACATACTAACTTAAAATTCGAGGAATATCATAAAAAACGTTATTTGAAATAATGTGGTAGAAAGCAACATTGATCAAATTAAATGTTCATATTAAAAAATAATAATATTATATACTTGCATGCTAAATTTAGCCGTAAGTGCATACAAGACTTTAGGTTCAGAATATAAACTCAGTTTTCAGGTTCAAAAAAAAAAAAAAAAACCAGTTATACGTGATCTCGATGTACTGATGAATGACGCTTGTGTCTGTGTGAAGAGCTGAGTATGCGCGTTCGATCGGGAGTGTAGATCGTACGCTATAACGGATAGGTATAAGATTCAAATTAAATGTTCATTTAAAAAAATAATGCAGGATTATTGGCATATAAACTTGCATTGCTTGAAGATTTAGCCTCGTAAGTGCATCAAGACTTTTAGGCGTTCAGACAATAGTATAGAGGCTCACGTTTAATCAGTGAGGGTCGTGCAAAAGAAAAAAATATAAAGACCACGCTATTCAGGTGGAACGGTGTGTAAGTGATTTTGTTCTTTTATGGAAGGGATAAAATTGAGTGGGTACTACATTTTGATATTTTATGCAGGAAGACTGCAAGGAATGGACAGGTATGAGAAAGGCTTATGAGGAGTTGGGACATGCCGTAATGCCACCCAAAGGGTTAGCATTAGTTTGAGGATTCCAAGTGAGTGGGAGTGAAGGGCTAAAAGTGGGTTCAGGGCTTCAATGTTCTTCAAGTGGAATGGAAAAGTTGGAGTTGCTTAGAAATTCAGCCATTTCAACTTAATTAAGGATTATTAATTATAAAAAAAAAAAAAAAAAACCACCTATTCAGGGTGGAACGGTGTGTAATGTTTTCTTATTGGAAGGGATAAAATTGATGGGTATAATTTTGATATTTATGCAGGAAGACTGCAAGGAATGGACAGGTATGAGAAAGGCTTATGGAGGAGTTTGGGACATGCCTAATCCACCAAAGGGTTACATTAGTTTGAGATTCCAAGTGAGTGGGAGTGAAGGGCTAAAATGGGTTCAGGCTTCAAATGTTCTTCCAAGTGAATGGAAAGTTGGAGTTGCTTATGATTCAGCCATTCAACTTAATTAAGGATTTTAATTAATTAATTAAAAGTGAGAGTGGAGCTTCAGCTACTCTTTTAATTGTCTAAATTAGTTTGTATGTCTTTTCTAAATGTAAGCCAATAAGGTTAATTTGTCATGTCATGTTCAATCAAATAGGTTTCTGTTTTCCAATAGAATTTATATGTTTAGGTATTGTATTATTTTAGGTTGAGGAAAAATAAAATGGATAAAATAATATAGTGTGTAATTTACTTGCGAGAAATAAAAATTACATATTTTTATATGTGGCCTGAATTATATAACTCTATTCATAATGATTCATTTAATGACTGCATTTTAATATTTTTATCTAGTTTAATTTCTTCTTCCTCATATCTAAAATGTAAGTAATTTTAAATGTAAGTAATTTTAGGATGATTATTTTTTCTAAAAATATAATAATATGAGATAAATGATAATTTGATCAAATTACTTTAAATTTTTTATAATTTTAAAAAATTAATTACTTCTTTAGTTCTTGTCAAAATTACAAATGATTTATATTTTGATACTGATACAGTATTTTATTGTCAAATATTAATTAATCACTTGACGGTCACATCCAAAGTAATCCTCATAAATTAAATTTAATTTGTGTAGTAATAATTTTTTATGGATCTCTTGAATGGTGCGATTGACTCTTGAAACCAAACAATTAATGAGAATTGACTAGATTGAATGTAACTTCACCTATCATAATGCGATTACAAAATAAATTGGAGGAATCGTAAATTAAAGCAAGGCTTGTGAAAAAAAAAAATTGCAAATAAATTATTGAAATTTAAAAAATTGAAAGTGATTATAGCAAGTGCAATTGAAATGTTTAGATGGCATTAGCAATGTCTAAAAAATAAAATAGTTCGAGCAGCAATTGAAATTGAAAATGAGAGATTTTTTTTCAATTGAGTTGTTTTTGAAAATATTAATTTTGTTGATTTACTGAATTTTCATTTTATCTATTTTTTCCATATTTAATCCGTTGTTTGAAATAAATGAATTACATAAAATTTATAATACTTATTTATAAATTTGAATTTGTGGCTGATATAAAAAAATGAAAGATTTAAAATTTTACAAACTTAATTCTACGAATTCAAATATAATTAAATCAAATTCTATTAAAAAATGTCTATTTCCAAATAAATTCCACGAACTTAACTTAAACAACCCAAAACTTTATGAAAAAATTATACATCCTCTTAACCTTCCAAAATATAATGTCAACAATATTTTAAAAAATAAAAGCAAATGAATTTTCAATTTTAGACGTATTTCAAATATGAATAATATTTTAGAAAATAAAATCAAATGAATCTTTAATTTTAGACTTATTTCAAACATGAAAAATTCATTTACAAATAAATTTTATCTAGAATTCATTTATAAATGAATTCCACGATTTAATTAAAATGGATGTATCATTTAATTGGACTTTAAACACAATTAGATCCAACATAAATGAAATAAATCTTAGGCCTAAAATACAAGTGTTATGGGTTGCCCAAAAACCAAATACAAGTCCAACAGCCTTCTCCAAGAGATTCACAAGAATCATAGCTACAACTATATGCTTATCTAGATTGACTAGAGGGATATTAACCGGACAGGACACATATTAACTATTAAGATATATATTAAAAATGTTAATATAGTTAGAAGTCAGAGGACTAGGACAAAAATTTTTTGTTCCAAGCTTTTTTTTTCTTTTTTTTTTTTTTTTACCGTTTTAGTGCAATACTTGCCTGCATAATCCTCACATTATTGACCAGATTTGATTTTGGTATCATAATGTGTTTTTATCTAAAGGGATGAAATTGATAAGAATAATTGTGCAATTTATGCTGGAAGGTTCCAACAAATGGATAGGTATGACAAGGGCTTATGTTTTGGTATTAATTTTTAAGACTTATATTGGAATTACAGGGCAGATACAAAACCCAAATACAAACAACAAACAGTTCTTGAAAGGACTAGAGGTGTAACTTTAGGACCTACCAGCAAATAGTCTTCTCAAAAAAAAAAAAAAGGAAAAGAAAGGAGAACTAAACCAAAACCTGGTAGATCATGCTGAGAAGCGCATCAAACCACAATCACATGACAGCTGTGACTAGTGCTGTGATATGTTTGGTCTCCAAGTATGACAATTCCTGCATAAACAAAATTTAAGCTCTAGCTTAGTAAAATAAAATTTGCGGAAACTAATTCTACAATGAAGACACTACATGCATCCATGCATTAGCGAATGGAAAGTAAAAATCTAAATTTTATAAAAGCACTTCCTCTGGGATCTTATCATTAAATGCTAAATCAAAGAAAATCCTCAAAATTAATGAACACAGACATGGAAATTGCAAGTCCCCTGTAGCCTCCAGGGTTACCCCAACATTTGGAGACGTTGGGAATGCTAAAAATTGTAGAACAGTTCCGATGCCCAAGCCTACAATAAAATTTCAATCGAAAAACACAAAATCTACAGCAGAAAACATCTATTGTATGAATATGGCAGATAATATGGCGATGCACTGAGACTCTGTTAAGAAATGACAAAGGTGAGGCTCCCTTCTGTATTATGAGGTGCAATTACTTCAACTTTTCAATTTATCTCCTAAAATGCATATGTCAATAAAGATATACATATATACAGAAAGATGAAAATTCAAATCAGATGAAATATGTCAGAACATTGGGAAATATCCAAATCCAACCCCCAGATGCATAGCTATACTTAATGGCCATACTATAATTCAGGTAGCATAGATTTCTGGAGCCAAAAAATATTTTTGTCCAAAAGAATGCCCAGAATGCACATATTCATGTCCAAGAGGACTGAGACCAGTTCCATTATGCATTGTCTGTCCAACAGCCATTCAGTGTTTCTCTGACAAGCAAAAAGATGCAATGCCAAGCACAACCTATTGCAAAGGAATCAGATTCTTTTCTTTGACTAAACAAGCATGCATTCTTGATCATAAAGAGAGTGTGAAATGTAAGACAAATCATGCACGTCAAATTACACAGCAAGCATGCAGATACACAAAGAAACACGCATAATGACATGCTGCCCAAACACATATATGCATATGCTTGTACCCCTAGTCCATAAAGCAACTTACTTTGAGAAAGTAAGTTATTTTTGCTTCTTCCAAATCCAACACCTTTCGCTAAACAGCCTCAATACATCCTCCCAGTGCACTCTGAAGAACCACAGTAACAGCTCTTCTTCCTTACATTGCCATCAGAATCGAGAACCTGACCAATTATATAATTGTAATGGTATGTTAGCTCTTGCAAGGGAGGAATATTCTCAGCAGCAAACAGCATGATGTGAGGAATTCTCTTGTCCTCATGATCATAGAGAATATTTTGTGCATAGAGATTTGGGGAACAACTATGATTGATGAATCTCCCAATGTTGCCATACTTCGCTGCATCGATAGTAAAACAACTTTCCTTAACAACTTCACAAGAACTTGACTGTGTATCAGATATGAGGTTTGAAAGTCCATCCCAGAGAGAATTGTCATTGTTATTTCCAATATCAAATAAGTATTCATCATTACCAGTTCTTTGCTCAGCTTCCTTCTCTTCAAGAAGCTCTCCTACATACTCACAAATAAAACTTCCAGAAGGGATTGAATTTAAGGATCTCACTCCCCATCCCCTGGATTCAGTTTTAAAGATTTCAAGCTGAAATTTGATACCATGCTGGCTGACTCTATTATAGCAAGAAGGAGGACACTTGCAAGAAGGACCACACTCATAAACCATAGGCTTTGCTTCAACAATAGCCCCATTATGGTTATATGGAATTTCACCTCCATTCTTTGCCACACAAGGACAGTTCCCAGTTTCAGAGCAGCCATTAATACAAACACAACCCACGGGAGGAATAGGACGGCACCAATCAGGATATATCACACGCGTTATGTATTCAAATGGCGGAGGCTTCTCATCATCTATTGTGTTCACAGCACAAATAGGAATCAACTCTCTCCCTTCCGAGATATCATCTACACAGACACCCTCCCGTACTTTATATTTTTTGGACTTCTTCACAACTTTCCATGCAAGCTCTGGTTGACCCGGAATTCGAACCAACCTAAACTTATAGACCAGTTTACCATGTGGTCCCATTTCTTGCCAATATTTTTCCACCAAATATAGGCCATCATAGACATATGTCTTAGTTCTTGCACTGGATGATTCAGAAACTCTTGTATCACCACGAATGACCCTCACAGGATTCTTGGCCTCTATACTATTTCTCAAAGCAAGATTACCTCGTTCAAGCTTTTGATCTTCAGGTTCCCTTTCTCCAGTCTTCATCCCCCCTGAACCTGTATATGTCAAGACATCTGAGTCATCCATATTATCATCATAGCCCCCAGATGCTACAATACTTGTACAAATGGGACGTCCACCTTCCTTCACAAAATCTATACCTCCTTGAGTCTGGCGATGAAGGCCAATAATGTTAAGCTCTACCCTGTATTGAAATTCGTCACCAACTTCAACACCTGGAACAGATCCAATAATTTTCCCTTTTGTATTAACATATTTTCCTTTCTGTTTAAGGACAGTAGCTGCAACTAAATCAGGCCTCTTAATATTTTTCAACTTTGTCTCTTCTTTCTTGACAAGCTTCCTATAGACAACTTGGAACAACCGCAGTGTTTCCCTTACTTTATTTCTGGTGACAAGTGCATCATTGTCATGACCTATACCACTCAAACTGCTAGGACAGGAAGGAGGAAGGGTCACATCAAAATTATGAGATCGCTTAACCAATTGAAAATCATCAGATTCCCCACCATGCCCAAGATTATCTTCTGTATCCCATTCAGCCATCTGAATTGTGCCTTTATAAGCATTACTGCTAAGAGATGAGTTCTTCTTCTTCTTCTTCTTCATACATGTTCCTCCAAAGTCCTGCACATCATTCTTCATTGTCCTAACAGCAGCTTTGGATTGTTCTTGCAATATGATAGCTTTTTTCTTCCCTTTGTCTTCGTCTGTACCACCAGCTAGTTTAGTAGGTTTACGGGACATTTTTCCTTGCTTCCAAGGATTATTCACAGAAGCCATAAGACCAACCACAACATCCTCAAACAATTTAAGTTCTGAACCTTCAATGTATTCTACAATTTTTCTCTTCATATTTTTTTTCTCCATATAATCCATCCCCATATTATCCTCCAGGCCTCCAATATACCTCTTGTCTGATTCAGGAACTGCCTCAATATTAAGGTCAGATTGATTTTGAATGCTTTTCCCAGGAGATTTGATACCTTGTTCTAGTATATCCTGTTGGGTCAGGTTCATCTCATTCTCAGAACAAGCTCCAAACTCAGCTTTCTTCCTACTATCTTCAGCATCAGGTCCTTCAAATCCAGCTTGAACATGAACCCCAGTCAGAGTAGGAACATTCCTCTCCAACCTGTATTTGAGAGCATCTCCATTTGGAACACTGTCTCCCACTTGTTCATCAGTCTTGAGTCCCTGTTTCATTTGCTCTTCTTCAATAACAGACTGCTCTTCACCCAGACACTTATTCTCAGTAATAGCAAGAATATTAGCACTCTCCTTAACAAAACGAGGAGCATTTCTTCCACAATGTGGAGGGAAGTCTCTGACAGCTGAAATTATCCTCCGAGGAGGGTATTTTCTTGGGTCCATATGATCCACTCGATAATTAGCATCTGCCTTAGTCAAATCCTTTGTCAGGCCAACTATTTCATATCCTGAAGGTTTTACTAAGTGATCAATATCCCCTGCATAATTCAAATCATCTGGACCTCCAAGTAATGGCAGTTTAGCAGGTGTTACATTTACCGAATTGAGCCCATCCGCCTGATCAGATGAGATCAATGGTGCTTCTGCCTTGGATTCCTCATCATTTGTTGGCCTAAGCATTGTTGTAGGATCCAAACTTTCCAACACACTGGAACATTGAGAACCAAGCACAGTGACATCCCCAAATGCATCACAATTCTTCTCTCGATCTACAGAATTCTCGACTTTACCAACACAAACAGCTTCTTCATTTGGTCTTGAAGAGATCCGTAGGGCAAATCGTCCACACCCAGTAGGAAACTTCCTAAAAGCTGAAATTCTCCGCCGCTTGTACTTGGGCAAACCAGTAGGCAAATCACAATGACCATTTTCCATTAGCATTCTTCCTGATTTCCCCGCAGAATAACTACAATTGCTCAATGACACCACCCTTGTCGACTCTGTTTGCAGTGTGTTGTCCACCAAACCCATTCCAACACATGAAGGAAACTGGTGAAGCGTCCAGAAAAAACCTAAAATTAAAAAAATTATCCGTAGCAAACAGTTGATTAGCAAGGATTTTATGGAAATGAAACTAACACCATGTTGTTGCCTAAAGAGAAGATAAAAAGATTTATAAGTCAACTAACAAATAAATTCCAAGAATCTTAAGATGCTGTCTCAAGACCTCGAGTGTTACACATAAACAAAAACATCAAACTATAAACAATGCAACCGCTGTTCTTTTACAACCAAAAACAGAAAAAAAAAAAAAAAAAAAAAAAAAAAAAAAAAAAAAAGTCAACTAACAAATAAATTCCAAGAATCTTAAGAATGAGCTGTCTCAGACCCTCGAGTGTTTTACACATAAACAAAAACATCAAAAAACTATAAAACAATGCAACGCTGTTCTTTTAGCACACCAAAAACCAGAAAAAAAAAAAAAAAAAAAAAAAAAAAAAAAAAAAAAAAAAAAAAAAAAAAAAAAAAAAAAAAAAAGACACTAAGTTATTGATGTAATCTCTCACCAAAGAGAATTTGAAGACACAATACTCACAATACTCATTAATTATCAACAACCTCGGGTTAAAAGAATAAGAAGATGGATGGAAATTTCTCAATAAAACTATACAATAATTAATCAACAACATATGAACCTATAACCACATTGACGTTTCCAGGCAAAAATGGGCCCTCGAATGAAAACAAAGGAGAAAAAAGCTTGATTTAGCACATCACCAAACAGTATTAACACTATCTGCGATTCACCTAAGATTTGTACCGTTCAAGGAAAACAAAAAAGCATTGGAAAGTCGAACCCAATATTAAACATACATTGTACAAATGCTCACTCGGATGCATAATAAATAACAATAAATACAAGAATAATCCTCAAAAAAACAGTTAATTAAAGGAATCAAGGACGTACAAATTTAATATCCATGATTACTTTCATCGATTAGCTAAGAATTTTCAGAATAAAAAGGAAATCGAAAAGAAAATCATACACGAAGAGACGATAGAGATTCTTTTAGATGATCACAAACCGATTAGTACAAACGTGCTGGCTTTGTTTTCTACAAAATCAACGTCCGGGAATGTACAGAGAGCGAGAGACGAGCAGTGAAGAAGAAAACTGCATGTGCGAGGTCGAAAGCTAATATGGAGGAAGTCGGTCTGCAAGTACAAAGCAAGTAAGGCGTGATCTTTGGCTTTGCGGCAAGGAAACGTTGTCGTTTGAATTGCACAGGTAAGAAGTACCATTGGAGTTGGCACGCGCTGCAATGAAGATTGATAAAAAAAAATTTTCCCTATAGGCAAAAAGGAAATTTATGGGTCTCGATACATAAATAGATAAAACTCACTTTGCCCCCCAAATTTCAACAAAATATAGAAATTATCCTAAAATTTAAATTTTTTATATAATTATCATTTTAATTTTATAACAAATGAATAAAAAGGATTATTTTTTGATAAATTAAAAAATATTTTTATGTTTTTAATTGATATAATTATTGTTATTATTTTTCAGAGTTATTATTTTTTTTAATAAAATTGAGATTTAAATTGAGAGGATAAATTGAACATTATTCCTTCATAAATTAACAGTTAAACCTTACACGAAAGATTTAGTAGCACTCTTAAATTAACGTATTAAACCCTTCAAATATTAAAATTACATCTATCAATAATTCAACTTTGTAAATTCCACTTATTAAATATAATTTTGTATTTTTTTTAATTATTCGTTATATTTTAATTAAGTGTAATATTTTGTACATACCTTTCCACAAATTATTAAACGATGTTTTTTACTTATTTAATTATTGAATAAGTATTCAACAAACATAATTTTGTAATTGAAGTATTCAATAAGTATAGTTTTAAAAATTGAAGTATTAGTAGATATATTTATATAAATATGAAGGATTTAATAGATAAAGTTAAAATTGGAAGTGCTGCTGGATGATTTTAACATTAATTTGCAGACCTGAAACTTGAAATTAGATAAAACTATGGTACAGAAAGCAAAGTTTCTTTATTCATAGTGAACTCTTTTTTAACCTTTATATTCAAAGTGTTTAAATATAAGTTACTATATGAAACAACCCGAATTTTTATTTTCAAAGATTTTCCAATTAAATTTAATAAACTGACAGCCTGGAAATTTATTTCAATATTTTAATGCGAACATAAGTTACTATTAGAAACAACCCGAATTTTTAGTTTGTCAAAGATTTTCCAATTAAATTTAATAACTGACAGCCTGGACAATTTTATTTCAAATATTTTAAATGCGAACACTGTAAAAACGAACCAAAAACCGATTGAAAAAGCCGAAAATAAACATTGAAAATCAACGAATATTTTTATTTTTTGTTGGGTCGGAATCGAAACCGGTTCGACGCCAAAACATGCTAGAAAATCTACTCTTTTTTTTACTCCAGCGCTGCAACCTTCATTTCGTCACCCCTTCACGCAATTTCTGCGCCAACCTCCAGCCCACCACCAACACCACCAAACCTCCTTCTCCTCTCTTCTTCCTCTTTCTTCTTTCTTTTTTCTTCTTTCTTTCTTTCTTTCCCTTTTCTTCTTCCTCTCTTCTTTCTTTCTTGCTGTGACTGCGTCTGCGTTGGGTCCAGCCAACACCAGCAAGCGCGATCCTCCACAGACCACCACCGCGCGCCGCCTCCACCTTCTGTTACGCCAGTCGCAGCCGCATGCAGCTCCAGCGCAACACCAGCTCGAGCGGATCTCCATCACAGCAACGCCACCACCCGTTCCTCCGCCAGATCGCGCCACCACTGCAACTCAGTTTCTCCTTCGCGTCGATTTGAGGTGGTCCAGCCGCTCCAGCCCGACTCCGGCCATCTGCTTGTACGTCCAACGCGCATAGCTCCAATCCGGCATGCGTGAAAATTTCCGATCTAGCAAAAAATTCGACAAAAAAAAATATATAAAATATATTCGAGATCGCCCGGGTCCATCTAGTGCTCCTCTAAATTAATTTTATTATGTAGTTATTAAATTGTAGTACTTTTAGTTAGGCTTAATTTTTAAGTTGATTATTTGAGTCAATTAAATTAATTTTATTAATGGTAGTTAATTAAATTTAGTACTTTTAGTTAGCTTAATTTTAGTTGATTAATTTGATTTTAGTAATTTAGTTAATGAGATTGATTTTAGCAATCTTGCTTAATTAATTTAATTTAGCAATTTTAATTAGTTAACTAATTTAATTTGGTTAGATCTACTGATTAGTTTAATTATTTGATTCATTAAATTAATTTAATTTAGTGTTGATCCATTGATTAATAAAAATTACTTGATTGATTAGAATTAAATTCGAGTAATAAATGAATTTGTTAGGAAATGATAAATAATATTAGAATTAAAGAAACATTTATCTTTATGTTGATATGGAGACTATGGGGATGTTATAGGAGAAAGTGAATAGGTTGGGATTGATTGGCCGATGGACTGTAGTGGTTGGATTATGGTATATTAGTTGATATTAAAACGCATGGAGGATAGTCCAATTTTTGGGGAGATGCTGCCGAAATTTTCGGTAGATAAATAACAGTAATCTTCAGTGGAAATTAAACTTAAATTTTGGTAGGAATAAAATAGATTTCCCAGAAGAAAATAAATAAAATAGAGTTAGATAGAGAAATAAAATTTATTACAGAAAAGAAATTAAATATCGACATTTTATTTACGTAGAAAAAAATGTAGAAAATAAAAATAAAATTGCTTAGAGTGGTAGAAGAAATATTGTTCTGATAGAAATTATTTTCTTTACTGGTGTCGTTCCTAACTTGCGTAGAATCGCCGGGTCCAATCTAGTGCTCTTCCAAGGACAGCAATCAAAGCTAGAACTTCGCTGCTCCATCGACTGGTGTAGTAATAATAAATAATGCATGTCAACACTGCATTTGCATAACATTAACATTTTTATATATTTACATATTGTATTTTTCTCAATATATTAGTGTTGATCACTATAATTATACTTATGCATAAGTTGTGCATTATGGATGAAAATTGGTGTATTATGATAAATGAATTGTTTGATTATTTGTGCTGGTAATAATACTGTGTCTCTGTTTGTGTGGAGTTGGGATAGAAGTGGGTCGAACCCGTGTGAGGACGGTCGATAAATATGGATCCTGATGAACTGATGAAATTGGACCGTCGGCCGGAAAAATGGGAGATCGGCGCCCCCGTGTGCACCTGATGAACTGATGAAATGATGTTGCTGATATGGAAAAGAAAAGAGAGAATGTAAAATAAAATATTGAGAGGACTGGTCAAGTGAGGATTAGACCAGTCGGCCAGATATGGGGGATTGGCTCTCCGGGTGCACATGTTTGAGAGGATGGGCTGTTTGAGAGGACGGCTCATCGAGGGATTCGGTGACGCCACTGACCAATTTCCACGTGAACTAATTTCCACGTGATGTGATTATTTGAAGGTGATATTGTTTGTGGGTGCTGATGTAATGTCATATGATTGACTGTTGTGTGTTCATTCAGTATATTATGGTGCATTTTGCTTGACTGTATGTGGTGTGTATTATTTATTATTATTCACTGAGTTGCAAAACTCACCCCTCCCCAACAAACCTTCCAGGTACTAGGAAGCAGCTGATTCGGCTGAAGCTCTGCAATCTTCTCTGCAGAGTTACAAATGTAAACTTTATATTCATGTTATTTAATTTTGGATGTATAAATTATTCTGTTATCAGATTATTTTTGGACTCCGCAGTTATAGGTTGTAGTATTAATATCTGGACCTTATTGTTAGCACTAACACTCATAAATAAATATATGTAATTAGCATAGCAGGTGAACCAGTAACCCATAAACTGTAGATTTACTAATTTTATTTAGTTAGAAAACCGTGGTTCCAATACATTTAATGCTGTTATCTTGAGGTTTGGGCTAGAGTTTGTATATGGGTTTACTGTTTTGATGAAATCTGGGAAAAGATAGGTAGACATATTGGAATAATTTACTCTACGGGCCTCGGGCGGCCTTAAGCTATTGGATAATTTAGGCTTACTACGGGCCTCGGGGGCCTTAAGCTTACCTGGGCTCTAGTGCCGGTTCGGCCCATGGAAACGGGTCGTGACACTATATTTAAATTTGACTAAAGAACTTTTTACCTAAGTAGGTCATATAATATTGTAATTATCTTAATTAATCTAAATTTAGTAAAATATTAAATTTTTATATCATCTGATTGTTGTTATTAAATATAAAAATAATTGTATTTATTGCGTAAATTTAAAAACACTCTTCTCAATACAACCATAAAAAATAAAAGTAAAAAGATAAAAAAAAAAAACACAGTCTAATATCAAATTTGCAATGAATTTGTGAAATTGCAACTATACTCTATACATATTACATCTCATTATCTTTTGAATATAATATATTTTTCAAATTAAAAGAGTTAAATTAAATAATTCAAATGTTTATCTTAAAACTTCTTTTTTTTTTTTTTACACTAAACTAATTGTTCCAACGTGTATAACTAAATCTTACATTATTTAATTTCATATATTAATAAAGGTCACATTTATTTGATTTAAAATCTCAAATTAATTAGTGTAATCATGAAAAAACACAGCTTTCTAATGTGTAATTTGCATTGAATTAATTTTTGTACTTAATTTTTTATTTATAGCTATTGAACCAGAAGTTTGATATTATATATATGGTTTATTTAATCTTTGGTTATTATATAATGTCTAATTATATAACTCAATACGTGATAATACTTTGTAATTCTAATTTGTAGTTTAATTAATCTTAATTTTTATCCTAAATTCATGTATTATTTTTTAAAGTAACCCATGTTATAGATTTAGATAAAAACATTCATTTATTTTTTTCTATTTAATTATATATAACTAATCTTCCAACTAATCAAATTTTAATGTTAACTTTAATTAATTCAATCTACTTTAGATTCTTTTCCATAATTTATTATTATTTATTAAGAAATATATTACTCCTCGTCCCATTTTGTTTGCTTGTTATTCATTTTTTGGATGACCCAAAATATTTGTAAGGTTTTTAAATTTGTATATCTAAATAATTATTCTTTTTAATGGAAATAAACAATTATTTTTTCTATAATAAATTGTTCATTAAATAAAGGACTTTGGTTAATATTTTAATAAATTAAGAGTAAAAAATGACAAAATAATATTTATTGACTAAATGTTTAATATACGTGTTTTGTTAAATCATGCAAACAAAATAGAATGGAGAGATAATATTTATTCTT